AGTGATTTATCATTCATTCACCTTAAGCTTTTTTAGCCCTACTCTGTGCAGGAACATGGCGGTAAAGAACACACGATAACCACCCCTGACTCACAGCCCCTGGGACCGGCCTGGTTCCCACCACAGCCACAGTTGCAGTGAGGGGTGAAAATGCACTAGGTGTGGGAGACAAGATGTTAGGTGCCCACAACAGGATGCTAAATAGGGATAGATTGTGATTCTTAGATTGTGATTCTTAGATTTAGCATTATTTCTTATTTGGTCAAGGATGAGGGAAATCAGATCTCGAGATTCAAAAGATGTTGAATCTCATAACTACTTAAAATTAGAGATTTAATCAAGAAGTTCCATGGTAAAAATAATTCTGGAGTCAAGACGCTGTGATACAAAACCCTGAAAACTGTAAACTCCAAATAATTTTTACTGTCCTGAATTCTCTGAGAATAACAGTACCTTTCTAACATCCAGCTTTGCTGCTGCCTATTTAAACAAGGTAAAATATACCTTTTGTGGTATTTACAAACACCAGAGGGTTTTCTCCCTTTAGCCTCGGTTCCCAGTTCAGAGGACTGTAACCCTAGATTCGGAGCACCACCTTAGATAAGTGAAAGCCGAGCAGATAATTTTGAACCTGATCCATCTCAGAAATTCGATCCGAGTCTGAGAACACCGCCTAGGCTGTTCCCGCGCTGTAGCTGGGAGCCAATGCCCCTGGTCTCCTGCCAGTGCAGACTTTCTGTCCAATCACCAGATGCTTTCTGGGATGTTTCTGCCCACAAGCAAAACTTTGGCTTGTTTTTCTTCACAGCAACTAATGCCTCAGAAAAAACCCTCGCTTTGCAGTTTCCCTGCTGCCTTTAAACCTGTAAAGCTAAACGCCACACCCACAATAAAATAAGAATATACGCTCTTTTCTCTTTTTGAAAATTACCAGCGGCTACGAGATCTTTGGCTAAACTTGTCCAAAAGTCCAGGTGTTCTCTTTTGTGCTGTCTCTCTCTCTCTCCCTCTCATACACACCCACACATTTTGAGACAAACACACTCATACACGGTTGTAAGACAGCTACAACTTTACTTGATAGCCGCTTGCAAATTTAGCCTTGTTACTGAAGCGTGTATCTGCAGCTGGCTGGTGACCATGGAAAACCAATAAATGCTGAAAGACATCTGCAATCAGGGAGCAAAGAAACATAGATTGATACTAGAACTTCTGAGTTTTAAGGCTGTCGCCAGTCATCTAGTGCAGGCCAATTCAGAGGACATGCACAAAGCGGGGAGAGACCAAAATTACTCAGAAGGTCCGAACCGGCAATTCTCTGGATGTTTTCTCCCAGAGGGAGCTGCATTCAGAGGCAGTCCATCCACAGAGGCTGGATGTAGGTTACCTTCAGGTCTGCTAGCTCGCCAGGCATTCTGAGCCTTGTTTCTATTTCTTTGACTGCTGTTTGTTTATTTCAAGGCTTACAAACTCGCCTCCTTGATATTTTAACTCCCAGTCCTGATAGGGACCGAATATCCCAAGAAACAGCTTAGTTAACAGTGTGAAGAACGTCACTAGATGTAGATTAAAATTAGGCAGGGTGGGGCTGTGAAAATATGTATTATATTAACTCAGTAAAGAGAGTGTTGAAAATCTTATGTTTCTGTATCATAATTAGAATAATTTTGCAATACTCTGGTATCCATATTTTATTTGTAAAATTATGAAACAGAGTCAGGTAAATATTTGGAATTTAATAAGTATGTACTTGATATAAAAATGAAGGCATCTGACACAGCACATTCCAAACTGAATTCTAGTGTTTTGTGCATAATTAATGTGTGTTCCATGGGGCAAACATACATTCGAAAATAATAAATTGAACAGATTTTTCTTTGTTTTACTGCAAGACTTAGCAATATCTATGTTATATTGGTATACATTAGGGATCTTCATTTTTCTTATACTTATTTGGCCACAGAACCGTGTCTGTGTGTGGTATATCCAGATTTTGCATAGTTTGGTTTGGGATATATTCTATTGAACACACCTTAGGAATGCTTATCTAAAGAAAAATGTGAAATGGATTAAAACTTTACTAAATCTTAAATAAATTCGATCACTCAGAACTTTCTCCTTCTGAAACAGAGTGCTAGGCACTTCTGCCCCATCCGGAGGAATTTACACACAAGACTCATACACAAGCTCGCTCTTACTGCAGGCCATTTGCACTTGCTATTCCCTCTGCCTGGAATGCTGTTCCTCACAGTTCACTTCCTTTCTTCATCTGGGTCTTTCCTCCAGTGTTGTCAATATAGAGAAGTCTTCTCTCAGAACTTATCTAAAATAGTGCTCCATCGCTCCCTAACTCTTTTCTTCACTTAATTTCTTTCAAAGCATCCAAAATAATTTGACCCATGTATTTATTTATTAGTTTATTGTTTATTTACCCTACTGGAATATACCCCATGAGAGACATGTCTGTTTTGTTCAACTTTGTATTTCTAGCATTTAAAATAGTACCTGGCATTTAGTAGGTGCTCAATAAATATTTGTTGAATGAATGAATGAATAGAAACAATTCTGTAAGAGTACCACAGAAAGGGTAAAAATAAGGAGCTGGAGGAATTTAGGTTGAGGTTGCTAAGAAAGGCTTTACGGAGAAGATGGCATTTGAGCTTGGCTTTGAAGATGGGAAGGTTTCTGTCATGGGGCAGATGGGATAAATAGTCTAGGCTAAGAAAAAGGCTTAATTAAAGGCCCAGAAGCAGTCTTGAGAACTAGCCTTGAGACATGTGTGGAAAAGAAATTGTCACAACTCTTGGGGCTAGCAGCCTATCCACCACATTTGGGGAGGAGAAACTGCCAAAGCAACACAAGTCCTCATACCAGGGGTCCACCTGTGTCTCTGAATCTGGCCTGTTCCATGCATGTTTTTCTGATCAGCAGTTCATTCATTCATTCTATTATTTATTATGTACCAGGTACACTTCAAGGTGGTATAGATACAGCAGTGAGCAAAACATAAAAAACTCTGCATTCACGGAACTTACATTCTAATGGGGATGTGGTAAACATTATAATTATAGCATATATTAGAAAGTGGTAAGTACTGTGGAAAAATGGAGTAAGGGAATTGAGTAGTATTGGGGGAAGAGTTGCTTTTTCAAAATTTTTATTTAAGTATAACGTACATATAGAAAAGTACACATATGATTAATGTACCACTCTCTGAATTTTCACACACTGAACAAATTCCATGTAACCAGCATGCAGAACAAAAAACCAAACACTATTAGCAGCCCAGAAGCATTCCTTGTGCTTGTGTGGGAATTAACTCCCCTGGCCAAAGGTAACCTTTATCCTGACTCCAAGTAATAGAGCCAAGTGTTGAATATTTTTGTACTTTTATATGAATGGAATTGTATCTTACATGTTCTTCTTTTTATCAGGCTGCTTTTCTTCAGCATTATGTTTATGGGATTCATCCATGTTGTTGCATATAGTTGTAGATAATCGTTCATTCTGATTACTGTATGGTATATTCCAGTGTGTAAGTACACCACATTTAATCCTTTCAATTGTTCGTGGACATTTGGATGTTTTCTAGTTGTGGCTATTGTAAATATCGCTGCTGTGAACATTCTGATACATGACTTTTGGTGGGGTATGGATTTTTAAATAGGTTGATCAGGGTAGGGCTCATTAAGAAGGGGATATTCAAGCAAAGACTTGAAGGATCTAAGGAAGCGAGCTATAGTAACCTGGGGGAAGAGCCGTCTAGTCAGTGAGGACGTGCATGAGGCAAGAGTGTCTCTGAAGTGTGAGAAACAAGGAGGAAGCCAAAGTAGCTGGAGTGAGTGACAAGGGGGTAGGAGTAGATGATCCGTACGTCTTTCCTGAAATGTCTATGAAATCTATCCTTCCTCCTTTCAGTTTCCATTGTCTTCCTTGATCTGGGCCCTCCTCTTTTTTACATAGACTACTGTATTAGCCCCTAAACTGACTTTGGATCCCCATGGGTCTTCCACACTGAAGGCAGAACAACCTTTCTCAAACTCATATCTAACCACGTCACTTCCTCGTTAAAATCCCAGTGTGGTTTCCTACTGGATAAAGTCCAAAACCTTTGGCCTAAAAATCAAAGTCCTTCACCATTGGCTCCCATGCTACCTTTTTGTCTTTAAGTCAGGCTTGCGTCTCTATGAAACCTTTTCTCTATCTCATTTACCTAGTCACAGAGCAGAATTAAACACTTGCTAATATCGTGCTGATTACTAGCCAGTTCTTAACATTCCATAATCCAGGAACAACCTTTAATTCAGGATGACATCCACGGGGGAACACATGAAGAACATCATCTTTTTCTTAGATCAGCTAACTTTTTACTCTATTTACATACCAACCGAGGAAGGGAAGGGGCAACAACTAATACTGATATCACTTTACAAACAGAAACACAAAAGATCAGACACATTAGCAAATGGATTTGGGTTCTAACTAGTAAAACTAGCTTCCTCTCACAGAATCAGCACAATGACTAGAGAGTATGGACAGGGAGGTCCAAGCAGAAGGTCCAAGCCCAGGAACTTGAAAAGAAGAAGCAACATAAAGAAGCCTTTTAAAAATCCTCAAGTGAAAATGAGAAGAAAACTTTGCCATCTGGGTTACGGAGAAAGAGCTGCAAGGACTGCCAATGTACTTTAACGGTCATTGATGGGAAACCTGGTTTCCTCATAGAAAGGGAAAGGATTCCGGAACGTATGCCGCACACAGATGGCAAAGTAATTTACATTTATTACAAAAATTTTCCCAGCAGAGGAAGACCCGAATAGGTGAGAAATCCCTGTTAATTTCCTCTGGTTAAAACAGGAACTAAAGCTATATGGACAATAGCATATCTGGTTGAATAATTCAACAAAGACAAAATATTTTAGGGGTAATTATTATGTACAAGGTACTGTGCTAAGCAATAATGGTGTTAGAAAGATGACTAAGGCAGAGTGTTTTCTTTCTAGGAACTCCCAGCTAAAGAGTATAGAAAGATACATAGCAAATATCCCAAAAGGAAGAAAACTGAGAGAAGACTTCCAACAGAGGCTCTCAAGCAAAGGACTGTGTAAGTGATTTTAATAACTATGGAACCTCCCTTTTACAAACTTAAAATAAGTAGACAGAGATAAGCAGCTGGGATGGTCAAGTGAGTGGGGGTCAGGGCCTGGGAGCAAAGGCAGGTATGGAGTACTTGGAGCCAGAGAGAAATCCCAGAAATCACACCTTGCCTTGCACCAGTATGAAGGCTAAGGCCAAGGTAGCAATCCAAGATTGTGTTGTTACTCAAGGGGCTAGATAAACAACAGGAACCAAGCTGTGGGACCAGAACAGGGTCTAAAATCTCCCGGGGCTCAGAAGGGCTGGGGTATCAGGCTGGGCGAGAAGGAGGCAAGTCTGAAAGAATTTCAGAGGTAGATCTAGGTGCTTGCCGTAGTTTTTCACATGGTTACAAGGTCCTAAGTATTTTGGGGAATATGGAACAGAACATAGGCCTCTCTGCCATGACATGTAGGGTGGTTATAAAGGTTTCTTTCCCCCAATTTTTCCCTTCGCCTTGGCACTGCCTGATGTGATTTCTGAATTTCACCATTCTTCGAGTATAAAATGCCTCCCATCTTTCCCCTTCTCCCTTTCTCCTATATTTATTGATTGTATACTATGTACCAGGCATTTTTCTAGGCTTGGGAATTTCTCTTAAAACATAAATACCTTAGGAAGGGTGAGATCTTAATCTTGGCACATAGGGAGTTCTCAACAAATATTTTTTGAATGAATGCATGAGGCCATTATCAGCTAACATCTTAGAAAGGATTGTGACTGCCAGCCAGGAGGGAGTGCTGGGAAAGTAGCTGGGAGGATGTACAAGCATCTGGCTGCTGAAAAGAGGTGAATCAAGAGGAGGAGAAGTCTCTTGGCATGTTTGTCTGCCTGGACAATTTTGTTCAGAGCTGAATCTGGCTCAGTTCTTTGGAAATGAGAAGTATTAAGGAAAAGAAGCTGTTCGAGTCCTTGAAGATGAGTTTCTTTCCCTTCATCTATTATAATGAGAGGGCTCTTGTTCCAGATGAGAACATCAGGATGACTTACTGTGAATCAGGGGTATGGCTACACCTAGTGTGACTCTCTTGATCCTGAACACCCTCTGGTTAGGACCACCACAAGTGTGGTCAAGGAAGTTTTGCCCACACAAGAGCACCCAGTTGAAGGAGAAGTGAGGGCTGAAATACATCTGGCCTGCACTTTGCTAAGTCTTGTGCCCAGAGTGAAGGGTGAGGGGCAGAGTTACGTGGTTATGCCCTGAGGAAAAAGAAACTTTTTCTAATTTTTTCAGAGGTGGTTCTGTCTCTGGAGGTTTTCTATTGGTCATATGGATGTCAAGGGTCACCAATATTGAGCAAAGTCATTTTTGTTCATTAGGTTCTATATTAACTGTTGGATCCAGAACATGAAACTATTCTAGACCTGCCTATTGCAAAACTCTGTCTCCAATGTTGGCACAAAGGGACTTGCGGGAGAGTGTGGTACTGGCATACCGTGGAGAAGAGAACAGGACTGGGGCTAGGAGCCCTGTGTGAATCCTCGCCTGCCACTTCCTCCTCATGTGACAGTGCGAGGTCATCTCAGCCTCAGCTTCTTCATCTATGAGCTGGAGGCTGTGGATTAGGGAATCTCTGAGGTCCCTTCCAACCTCAGATTTCTGTGATCCTCAAAGGCCATCAAAGATTAAAGCCTTTACCCTTTCAACATTCTTCTCTTGCATTAACATTCAGTTTCAAAAAAGACACCCACAAACTTGTACTCTAAGTCCTCTGGTGTGAATAACTTGTGATCAGAGTTGTCCAGTTCTACTCTGATGATACATTGGGAGAACTTACTGTCTCTATTACCTAGGAAAGTAAGCCAAGGATTGAAAGTGTTTATCAAAAGCTACCACACAAGAGAGAAAATGAGAAAAGAATTTGGCGTGTGTGGAAAGCCTCTTTTGAGCAGATCCAAAAATCTTTGATTTAGTCTAATTCTTAATTTACACACCGGGTCACAGAGGGAATCGGAATTCACCAAATGGAAGGAGTATTTTGCCACTCAGGTAGCAGAGTTAAAACAGAAAATACCCTCCAAATGGGTAAAACTTCCTTATAGAGCCTAGAAGATAAATCAAGACAGAAACTGGTGACCTAAAGAAACATTTGACTGCCAAAGTGATGTCATGATGGGAATTTTTCCCTCTTAACCTTTTGCTGCCCCCCTCTCTATTTTTCTCCCAGTCAGCAAACTTCTGTTTTTTTCCATTTCTGTTATTGTTTTTGGTTTTGCCCTTGGCTTTCTCTTTTCCTAGGTCTTCTTTCTGAACGAAAGGCTGTTAAACCACAGAATTTACTTTTGAAAGAACTGAACTATTTCCTTCTCCTCGTCTGCTTGCCTCCTGCCATGCCAGCAGGCAGCGCTGCTTGGTAAGAGAAGCTGGCAGGAGTATGTCTGGGACTGGGGAAGGAGGAGTGAGGAGGGGAGAAGGGGGCAGGCAGGGGGCAGGAGAGGGGAGTCTGATCAGCCCAGGTGAGGCAGAGGCAGAGCTAATGAGAAGCACATGCCGCCAACCATTTTAAAGTCTTGGCTGGCTTGAGCCAAGGGAAGTGATGAATTGCAAGAATGTGTTGTGTTCAGAGCCGGGGAGCTGGCAGAAACAGCTTAGCTAGGATGGAAGGTTTTTTTTTTTTTTTAAGAACTCAGGCTTAAAAATACATTTCTCTTTGTCAGCAAAATGTTCTAGTTTCGAAACTATGAATGGTAGACTACCTCTGTCAGACTATTGCATTCCTTTTTCACCTCAAATTTTCTAAGACACAACTTACCTTCAAATTAAAAGACTAATTTTTCTAAAAAATGGACTTACATGATAGAGCAGCTCTGAGCTCCTGAGAACATTTTTAACTCCCAGGACAATCTCAGCCCCTGGGTTTGCGTAGGCAAACTCAATTTACAATCTGGGGGGGACAGGTAGTATCTGAGCATGGGTCCAGGAAGACTTGCTCCTTCCTTTCCTATTCCTTCCTCCCTCTCTCCCTCTGACAATTATTTGTCAAGTATCTTTTAAGGGCCACAGTCTGTTTAGGGAAAGATATGGTGGAGAAAGGTAATCTAGGTCGTCACCGCCAACATCTATGCCCTTCAGAGGGTGATTATAGAGGTTCTACTTCAAAGGCCTAGACTAAAGCTCTCTTTAAATATTAGGCCCCAGAATCATAGGCCCTACTTGCCAACAATAAATTTGTTAGGTTTTACTCTTGAGAAAGAGCTTAGCCCAAGCCCAGGTCAGAACATTACAATGTGAAGAGGGGATGTTTACGTTGAAGTTCTCAAGAGATGTATACAGTTTGCCTTTGGTACTTTCTACCTCCCTTTTCACATCTTTCCTAGTTTACTGTGTTGCTCCTGGCTATTCAGTTCTCAACTAAGTGACAAGAGTATAGTGTCCATGTGATTATTGTTGACTCCCATTTCCCCTGGTGCCTGGCATAAGGCTGGCACTTAATAGCTAATCAAATAGTTGTTGAATGAATAAATAAATACTTTCCCCCCAGATACCCCTGTTCTAAATTTCCGTTCAACTTCTTCCTATTCAACCAACTCACCTCCCAAGCCAAACTCCAAGCAGTTTTATCTCAAATCCTGATTTTGGCATCTTATAATAACGAATCTTGGGCAAATCATCTTAGTCTCTGAGCCTCAGTTTCCTCATCTTTCAATGGGATTAAGTTTACTTTACAGGTATGCTGTGAGGATTCACTACATAATTGATAACTTAAATAAAACACCTAACCCATCTCTTGGCATATAGTAAGTATTCAATAGATATTGATTATTTCTTCTTCCATTCATTTCTTCTGATGATCTTTCTCAAGAAGTAGAAAAAAATTGGTTGAAAGAAGTCATGCTAAGGCATGAATGAGGAATGGGTTTGGTCTTCCTAGTCTGCAGTAGAAAATAGGGAAATAGTAGGTGGGATAGTTTCGAGATGCTGGGACCTTAGGGTTCCTACCCACTCTCTGCCACCTCCATTCTCTATGCTCTATTTGAACAGACAGTACCCACTCTGGTTATCCCAGCATTCCACTATTGTCATAACAAGGTGCTCCACTTTGGAAAGGTTGCTAACTCTCACATATACTGCAATTCATATTATTTAAACTTTTGGGGGCTGGCCCCGTGGCCGAGTGGTTAAGTTCACGCACTCTGCTTTGGTGGCCCAGGGTTTCGCCAGGTCAGATCCTGGGCGCCGACATGGCACCGCTCATCAGGCCATGATGAGGCGGCATCCCACACGCCACAACTAGAAGAACCCACAAGTAAAAATATACAACTAGGTACCGGGGGGATTTGGGGAGAAAAAGCAATTTAAAAAATATTATTTAAACTATATTTAATGGGTGAGCAAGTTAACAGAAAACAAAGAAGTCTGGACTGAGAAGTAAGAATGTATAGCAAATCAAAATGCATTATAAAATTACATGATTAAAGAAAACAAAGTAAATACACAAATGTTTTCATTTGATGTCCCCGGTAAATAAAGTTTAGGAGGATGAAACCATTCTGATAAAATCCATCTTGTATTTCCTATAAAACAAATCTTTTGTACTCTAATTCAGAGAGAAAGAAAATTATCTTAAATAAAAAAATTGTTTACACATGCAGGTCACGTTATTCACGCAACTATTTTCTAAGAGAACATCTTAATAGGAGTTGGAGAAAATAAAGTGAATTATAAAATTTTATTACATTTTCCTTCATTGAAAAATTATATGATTGAATGAATTTCTTCAAGTTTCCTAAAGAAAAACTTATTTCATCTGACAGACCAGTTTTTCTTTTTTCTTTTTAAATCTTATCTTAGATTGGCATGACCTACAAGAAAATACCCATTTATGAGTTCAAAATATTGACATGTCTACATTTCTCCCCACTCTCCATGAAAATTCTAACATTTATTTGACAATTAAATGGCCCAATTTAGAATTTTTCTTGCCAGTTGCAAATTGTTTCCTTGCACAGCTCTGTGAATTAATCAAA